AAGAAGCTACGCCCCGAAAGAAGCTACGCCCCGAAAGAAGCTACGCCCCGAAAGAAGCTACGCCCCGTAAGAAGCTACTTCAGACTGGGGGCAAAGTCCAGGATTGGGTCTCAACAGGGGATGAGAGAAATACTATGACTTCATTACATCTCACAGAGTATAAACCAGCCTCCGTCTAAACTGTGATACTGGTATAATACTGGTATAATACTGGTATAATACTGGTATAAAAATAGTGAAACACCTGTAGAGTCTTGTAAAGTCCAACTTCCAGCAGAATGTTGAAACTTTTCAAGGATGTTTCTGTGGAGTCCGTCTAACTGAGCTCCGGTGAGTTCGGTTATTTCGCTGAATTCGTCAAAATTTTGTCAACGGAGAACATCGTCTTGAAAATTTTGCAAACTGGAAAAACTTCTTGAAGATATTTTGAAGGACGCGTCAACTCGCTGCATCAAACCGTGTTGAATAATCCCCATCAGCCATTTTGAACTTTGAACATGGAACTTACTGTTAACATTAGAATAGCTGGAGGTTACCATCAACTACTACCGCTTAAAATGAACGAGCCACAGCCATTTTTATGTTGGCTGTGTCGGCCATTTTGCGTTTTGAAAACTAGCTTAGCGAACTGTTAGCACTGGGAGTTTAACTCAAGTTAACTTCCTACCACGCCACGTTTTAACATTTCTAAAAATTGTGAATTTGTAGTGAACTAAGCCTCAGGTCAAATTTATAGCTGATTTTTTGTTTGCAAAGTAGCTGTGGCGGCCATTTTGATTTGGGTCAACCAAAGTAACTAATCAGACAAACAAGACGATGATTGCTTTGTGAGAATTTTCATAATTTCCATCCAGTAGTTTGAGATATATCAAAGAGCTGCAAACTCCCAGTGATGTCATCTTAGCGCCATATTTAACAAGTCTTCAGATCAAAGTCGTGCTTTTAAAAAAATAATAAAAATAAGAAACTAGTTAGCTTCTTTTTCTGGCGTGTTTGGGGACTTAAGAGGCTAAACTTGAAGGCACCAATCATTCTCCAGTCAAGCCCCGCCCCCTCCCAAAGCTCAGACAGTAGATCCCGCCCACAGAGCGGAGGACACACCCACACGTGAGAAGAGCCGAAGAGAAAGGAGGAGATCAGAATTGTACTTAACCACGACGAAGCGGCTTATGTGACTGCTGAAGCTGTACCGAGCTGCGGTCCTGCAGAGGTTCTGGTCTGTGGGCAGAGCAGAAGACTACACTGAGCTTCCTGGTGGAGGTCAACGGGTGTTCTGCAGACGTGCCTGCTCGGAGCTTTTCTTTAAACTTACGTTTTCAGCAGGAGCCGACGGAGACAAAACTATAAAGACTGAGAGCGTCGGATAAGTTAAAGAGTCGAACTGCGGCGGTCCCGCCGGACCTACACTTCCTCCGTGGCGTTGTGAATCGTCTCGATGATCTTCTTCTTCAGCTTCTTGACTTTGTCGGGCGGCGTCTCGTTCAGACACTCCTCCACGTACTTCAGGAAGCCGGCGTGCGGCGACGCGCTCTGGTTCTGGCAGACGCTCCTCATCAGCTCCATCAGCTCGCCCGTAGAGGCCGGCGGCTGGCGGCGCGCCCGCTTACAGCCCGGCGCTCTGCGGTCCGTGTGGGAGGAGGGCGTGGAGGGGGAGGACGAGGGGGAGGAGCGCTGGGAGTCGGGGGGAGTCGGCGAGGGCGGGGTGTTGAGGCTAGGCACCATGACGGTCTGACTGGAGGCGGTTTGGTTGGAGGTGGAGCAACGCTGGTGGAGAAATTCCTCGTCGTCTTCGTCGCAGGAGTTGCAGAGGAACATCAGCTCCGGGTAATGTTTCCACTTGGGAAGGTAGAAGTCCTCAGAACCGCAGGTCCGGTTGGAGCTCACCGCCTTGTGCTCGCGCTGGAAGATGGTCCGCAGGTTCCTGAACTTCGTCTTTATGTCTTCCACTAAAAAAAAAAAGATAGCATAAACAGAGCCTGTAGGCGACAGAATAAACGAGCGGCACACCGACGTCCCGGTGGGACCTGAATGTTTGTGGTTTTTAAGACGAGTGTTTTTCTGGACTGGAAATGATCAGAGGATGAAGAAAACCTAAATGTTCAAGTGGGAAGGAGGTTTTTGTAGTTCGAGGCAGAGCAGTGATGGAGGGGAGGGAGCGATTTTATCCTCCACCAGGTGCAGTGGAGGAGCCAGGGGGTGGCCAACGGTGGCATTGGCCCCCATAGATTAATCTCTGGCCACCTCAGCCATTTGAGAAAACTATACTTTTAAACAATATAAAAACTAGAAAGCAGTTTTCTCAAATGAATGGGGTGGACAGTTTACATATGGTGGCAGCCATCTTGGATTTTGATGTGGCAACCCGTTTTTGGCGATTGTCACTGCACGATCCGTTCCAGAAGCACGATCCGTTCCAGAAGCACAATCCGTTCCAGAAGCACGATCCGTACCGCAGCTCGTTTGCGCATGAGCTAAAAGCACGGATTGCCGTCAAAGCCTAACATCTAGTGGTTGTTTTTATTTACACAACTCTTCATTAGCGCTGAAACAAACACATTACTGGTAATTTCTTCAGTATTACACCAAGAACTGAGGTAAACAAGTTAATTGTGTCTGGGACACTTCTGGCTCACTTCAGTTGGACCTGACCCCCGGTCTGAAGACACGGAGTGAATTATGTCCAAACAGCGCCGCTCAGTGGTGAAGCTGCGCTACATCACCCGAAACGTGCGTCGCATATCATTTTAACCTTTTCTAATCAAGACAGATCTTCTGCATAAACGGAATTAAAACATTGTCTAGGAAAATTAATCAATTTATAGAAAGAGATATTGTAATTAATATTAATAAATATGGTATGTTTCATAAATTTTATTAATATAAAATGTGTGTTGAATTAAATCAGCTTATATGATATAATTTAGCACACCTTTATAATTAAAGGCTGGACGTAATTATTTCCAGTACATTTTTATTTTTGATGGTGCTCTGTGTGACCCGGAAGCATTTCTTTTAGCGCATGCACAAGCTGCGGTACGGGTCGTGCTCCTGGAACCGATCGTGCCGTGACGGTGACGTCTCGCTGTAGCCACACGCTAAAATGGAAGTCGGTCCTTCTCGTATTCGCTCATGCTCACAACATGCACAGACGGAAGGCGTTTCCAGTTCCCCTCTTGGTTCTGTGACGGGGAACAAAAACATCTGGTGTTGTTTGCAGAGTTAAACCCGAGTCGAGCACCTGAGAACGGGACCGGCTCGTTCTGCGACAGGAGTCCGCTCAGCTTCTCCAGCAGACTTTGCCTCAGGAAACGGTTCCTGTAGTTCTCCAACCTGTGGTTCCACAAACAGCTGTGTTCTGCAGAGGGAACATGAACAAAACAAAAAACATCCAGGTTTGATCGTTTTAATACAAAACTTTAATTTTTAAAATCTTCGGCTGATGTTAGGCCCAATTTTAGCTTCCAAATACAAGCTAAACTAGAGAAATTGAATTTCCTGCAAAAATGCAGAAGAACAGCTGAAATTAGCTAAAAACATGCTGAAATGGAAAAACAAGCCTAAATTAGCAGAAGAAACCAGAAAGAACACATATTTGCTGAATTAGGTTCAAAAATCATAAATGAGCACAAAAATTACCAAATTAGCTAGAAAAGCTGAAATTTGCAAAAATGTAGCTGCAAAATAGCTGAGAAGGCAGAAAGAAGCTTAAACTACTAAAAAGAAGCAGAAATAACTGAAATGAGCCCAAAAAATGTTGAATGGACTGAAAAAGGTAAAATTAGCATAAAAAAAGCTAAAAAGTAGCTGAAATTGTAGAAAAAGATAAAACTAGCATAACAAGCTGAAATGAGCATAAATACATTATTTAGGCCAAAAGTAGCAGAAATTAGCATAAAAAAAACTTGAATTTATCTGAAAACAGCTGAAATTAGCTAAAAGATGCTGAAAAAGTAGAACCAGCTTAAATTAGCCAAGAAAGCAGAAAGAACACGTGTTTGTCCAATTAGGCTGAAAGAAGCAGAAATAGCTGAAATTAGCAACAAGCAAAATAAACTGCAGCAAAGCAGCTAAAAAAACAGAAACAAGCTGAAATTACCAGAAGTGAGCACAGTTTTGCTGAATTAGGCTGAAAAAAAGTTGAAACGAGTGCAAAAACTTTTGAATAAGCTGAAAATTTTAAATTATAATTAAAAACAGCTACTGTAAATAGTAGCTGAAACAAGGCAGAAAGTAACAGAAATTCCTACAAAACGAAACTTGCAGGAAATAATCATCTACAACTCCGACGACTTCTTTTGACGACGCTCAACGAGCTTCAAGTCGGCGGTTTTACAGATGCTGAGCTACATTTTGGCGTGGTAGTAGCCGAGAGTCATCCACACCAGAGGAACCCGCCCTGCCACCTTTCAGCATCAAGACGTCTGAGCTGAAAGTGACCGATGCTGGTTCTGCTCCTCGGGTCTAACCGGTTTAAGCCACTTCCTGTCGACACCTACCGGAGTAAAACGAGATGAGCTGCTGAACTTTGACCTCGCTCCAGAGGCAGCGGGACTCGGTGCTCAGTCTGCCGTCCAGCGGGACCAAACAGGGCTTTCTGTCCGGAGATCTGGACGGGGAGGCCGGGAGCGTGGGGGGGCTCAGTTTCAGGTGGTCCGGAGCTACGGGGATCTGGTACTCGGCTGGACCCTCGGTCTGAGTGGAGGCGGTGGACGGGTTGCTGCCGGTCTGAGACGAGCCGGAGGAGGGAGGGGGACTTCCTCGCTCCACGTCTCGGCCTTCGTGGACCGACAGGACCTGCAGGTCGTCGGGACAGTCGTCCTCGCACAGGAAGAGCAGCTGGTGGTAGTGCTTCCACTTGGACGTGTAGGGCTTGTCGGAGGTCCGGCTCACCTGGACCGACTTGTGCTCGCGGTTGAAAACGGTCCGGAGGTTCTTGAACTTGCACTTCACGTCGTCAACTGGAGAAACAACAACACAGAAGTCACTTCATGCGAGAACAGAGAGGCAGAGCGTGACGCTCGACCGAGGAACTCGACTGAACCTCAGATATCGGTATGGAAGGTGAAAAAGTGGATCGGTGCATCCCTAGTAAAAATGTTCCGTTAAATTACCGTGAGCGGATCAGAAGTTGTTGCCAGGAAAACAAAGAAATTGTTTGAACTTTGACCTTGATTTGTGACCTTGACCTTGGTTCTGGGGTGATGGAAAACGTACGCGGCGCTGCGCCTAGTGATGGCGTACGAAGTTTTATTAAATTATTTAAGCTACGGCCCGGTCCAGAGAACGTTTACGCTAACACACCTATACTAAAATTAATAAAGGGAGAATTTCAAAAGATTGAAGGAGGTCTGGATGAGAAACGAGAAGCGGATTAAGACTTTTTCACAGCGCGGCGGGTCCAGAACCGGAACCGAGGGATATTTACCTGTGAAGGACACCAAGTGGTCCGACAGCAGAGTCCTCAGAGAGTCCAGAAGTTTCTGCCGGAGCTGCCGGTTGTTGTAGTTTTCAGACGTCTTGCTCCACAAACAGCTGTGATCTTCAAACCAAACAAACTCCCGTTAGCTTCAGAACCTCCAGAACCTTCAGAACCTCCAGAACCTCCAGAACCTCTCTAAAGTTCTGTTTGTACCCACCTTTGTAGAAGGAGATGAGCGCCCGCTCTCGTTCCTCGGTCCAGTAGCTCTTCACCACGAAGGGGACACAGGAGGAGGAGGAGGAGGGGAGGAAGGAGACGATGAGTCCCGGGGAGGCGAGGACGGACCGGTTGTCCTCCGGCGGGACGTTCAGCGGGGACGGAGGCGGATCGTCCGGGCCGTCGTCCTGATCCCAGCAGCCCCGCAGGAACATCAGCTGCTGGTAGTGCTTCCACTGCGGTGCGAACACGCCGTCAGAACCGGCCTCCCGACTCGCCCGGACCAGCTTGTTCTGGCGCTGGAAGGTGGTCCGGAGGTTCTTGAACTTGTTCTTGATGTCCTCCACTAGAACCAGAAGTTAAAACGAGACCATCGTTCTATAAAAACGCTCCAACGATGAAGCGGTTCTTTAAACCGAGAAAAGCAGCTCGTGGTTCGGAGGGTTCTTTGGACCCGACGGTACCTCTGAACGGAACCGGAGGAGGGACGGAGGACAGGAGGATCCTCAGGTGCTCCAGGGTCTTCCACCGGAGCTGGCGGTTCTTGTAGTCCTCCGACCTGTGGTCCCACAAACAGCTGTGCTCTGGAACAGAACCAAGACCCACCAGAACTTTTCAGAACTCTTCACCGGTTCTTATCGGACCAGAACCAGAATAGAGAGAATGCTGATAGCTAATCGTCAGCCGAAGAAGCTGAATCTGAACAGCTAAAAGGCAGAACAGTGACTAAAGGCAGGAAATGCAAGCTAAAAACTGACAAGAGCAAAATGTGAGCTAAAAGCAACTGAATTAGCTAAAACAAAAGTTTAGCTAACAGTATTAAAAAAAAATACAACTAAAAGCAGGAAAACAATAGCAAAACATCAGCTAAAACTTGTAAAAAGATAGCCAAGTAGCAAAAGTTTGGTTAAGAGCTAAAACTTGTTCAATTGAAGCTACAAGCTAAAAGCAACACATGGCTAGCTACACGCAGCAAAAATCCAGCTAAAAACAGGAAGAAAACTACCAGCTAAAAATAAATAAAAACAACAACAAATAAAGTAGCAAAAGGTTAGCTACAAGTAGCAAAACGGTAGGTAGAAGCTAAAAGTGAATAAAGGCTAGATAAAATCTTAAAACAAAAGCTTATAATTTCAAAATGCTGGATACAAAAAGCAAAAAGCTATAAAGCTAAAACTAGCTAAAATGTAGATAGAAGCTGAAAACTCCAAAGGACTAGCTAAAAGCAGCATAAGGAAAACTAAGTTTGCTAAAAGTAAAAATTTTTAAAAGTTGGCTAAAAGTCAAAAGTAGCATAACACCAGCTAAATATAGCAAAATAGTAGCTAGAAGCTAAAGCTAATAAAGGTCTAGCTAAAAGCAGCAGACAGTGTTTTTCCCCTTGGTTGAGTCGTCTCGAGAAGCCGCCAGCGTTTGTGGTGTAGCGTTACAGTGGTGATGCTGGTGGTGGTGTAGCGTTACA